TTGATTCAATCGGATTGCAGGGGTGAGCACAAACCCATTTAAATTCAGTTTTGCACAGAGGAACATTAATCTCCAAATCACAAAAAGCCTGGAAATGAGCAGTGAGTACATTTTCCAGTGTCACATAAACACACCGACTTTATTTTGTGCAGTGTTGACACTCTGTGTTAGCGTGATTATTGTCTTTCTGTATTTTCTTTATGCATGAACAGATGTCTGCAACGTTGCCTTCGGCTTTCCTTTCAAGAGACAGATTTAAAGTCAAATCGGTGTTCATGCTGCTCAGTGTGTTGACGGCCCTTTGGGAGCGCATAAACATAAGACTGCATGAAATTTAATAATGCTTTACTGAAGAAAACCCCATCAGTATCTGACGGTTCTCATTGTGGAAACATTGGAAGGCAAATGAATTACTGTACAACGCTTGGGGAATGAAAATCACTCGGTAAGAAAAAGTGTGTGAAGTGCATGTTAAGTGTTTGTGGAGACAAGGGAAGGAGAGGAAGGCCTATTTTCTTCTCATTAGGCAGAGCAAATGTTTAGGGTGAAGCAATGGGCACATATTCAGCAMTTCTTGTTTGGAGATTTTCTATCAGTATTTTGTCAGAAATTAATCTTATGTACAAACTTTTTTTAATTTCTTGTATAGTTTGGTTCAGTATGCCTACATTGAAAAAAAAGTTGCTTTGTCTGAGTGGAAATCTCATCGATAGAAGTGAAAAAAGCATGTTTCCTTCTCATTATGATCACCTTTTGGCTGACTTCCACATTAGAACATTTTTAGTATAAGCCAAGTACAGGTAACATAAACTTTAAAGGGGCAATATTATGTGTTTCTCAGGCATATATTTAAATTCTATACCATAATAAAGTAACTATGTCACATTCAGTTGTTWTTAAAATGCTGTTTTTATGTTTAAATAGAAAAAAACTTGACTTCTCATCATATCTGTTTCTAAACGCCTTGAATTTGGCCTCTGTTTCTTTAAGAACCTCCTTCCGCTTTTGTCTCGCCCATTTCAGCAAGGGATGGGTGGCTATGTGTGCTCTGTGACAAAGAAGCTTGGTTCAGAGACACAGCCCAGAGGAGGAGCTGATCCCAAAAGGTGGTTCTAGTCCCAACCGGTCGTTTTTGCTCCCCTGCCTGGCTGCTTCAGGACACTACAGGATTTCTCTAACATGCATGAATGAGTCAAAGCAAGACTCTGGGCATGTTTTTGATGAAAGTATAACATTACAACATGATATAAAACTCTAAAAAGTTTATTTTACATGATATTGCCCCTTTAAGTATATCCGTGATAAGCAGATAAAAAGTAAACTGATAGTATACTTTCTTATTTCTGGTTTAAAATCAGTACAAAATAAAGGACACTATTTTTTGCTAAGTGTTGTTTAGTGACTAATATTCCGCTTTCATCCAACCATCTATTTCATATAGAAACATTTTGCTGCAGTGTTGCAGGGGGTTGGTACCTCCTGAGAGGCGGGAACACATCTGTCCTACAAAGTGACAAACAACCATTTACACAAAGAGATAATTTAGAGTCACCAATTACACTAAAGTGCTTGTTTTGTGCATTTGGGAAGAAACTAGTATTCAGAGAAAACCCACGCAGGCACAGAAAGAACAGACAAACTCCACACAGAAAGGTTGCAGCTGGGTTTTGAACTTGCAACCTTCCTACTCTGAGACATTAGCTCTACTGCCCTGACATGCCATCTCAGTTTTCATGCCATACAGTTTGTTACTGATTAATAATAGACAGCTGTAACTGAAGAGGGATGTTCTGTCAAGCTTTTCCCCCTGAAGACTCCCACTCGATTTGCTCTGCAGTTGTGGGCTGGAAATATCCGCTTGAAGACATTAGCTAAATAATGCATCACTTGTCATATTCTGTGTATTTGCTTCAATCACTGTTAAAATGTGCAGACATGTTTTGGTACTGCCGTGTTGCAAAAGCAAAATTTTGGCTTTCTGAATTCACAAATCCCATAATAGCACTTAGTGACAAATGCAAAGTCAGGCAGTAATGAAAAAAAAATGTTAAACACCTCCAGAAAGTCTGGACAATGATAGCTTTAAGAACCGATGGAAAGTATCCAGCTTCATTCAATCAGGATGCCATGCAAAAGAAATGTGGATGACTCCAGATTTTTGCACATTTCTGTAAAGAAAATCTACAATATACTGTATATACTGTAAGTTTTTGATCAATAGTGCAAGTAGAACAACTATGCATCATCTGTTACTTAAAGTGGTGGTGCTGTAGCAACCCTTAATACAGTTTGATTGGTACTAAGTATTTACCAGATATATACTAGGTATGTAATTGGTATGCATCTGGCACTTATCTGATTCGTACCTTTTAGCCTGCATTATGAAATGACCTGTTACCCAGTACTTGCCGAGTACATACCTTGGACTCGCCAGGTACTGGTACATACCTACCTGATGTGTATTGGGTACATATTTAATACTTACTGGGTACTTACTTGGTATGTATTGGGTAAATGACTAGTACACACTTTGTACATGCTTGTTGATTTGAATATACACCTTACTAAGTATGTACCAGTTGTTGCCAGTAAGTACCATGTATCTGGTACACAATTGTCATGATTTTTTTTTTAGAATTATTACGATTACTTTTTTTTAGAATTTTTCAGACTGTTTCATTGTTTGGTTCTCTTGTTTTGCTTTATTATTTCCTGTTAGTTTTCTCTGTTTCCTTAGTCATGTTATCCTCAGTCAGCTTCTTAGTGTTTTTCCACGCAGCCACTCATAGTCTGTAATCACCCAGGTGTTTCCACTCCCCATTCATCCTCAGATGTATTAAACCAGTCTCTCGTCTCCATTGCCCCAGTGGATCATTGCCTAATCAAGCATCAAGCCTTGTTCATGGTTTTCCTCATTGTTATTTTTGTTAGTCATATGCTGCCACGTCAGCCTTTTTCTTTTGTCATTTAACAAACTAGTTTTGCTTTCTTATTCAAGTCCTGGTGTCTGCCTGCATTTTGGGTTCCACAAGATTACAAATGTGACAATAATGTGCTGTTTTATGGCTTCTCAATTTGATTTATTCTTTTCATGCAAACTAAAAATCTAATACTGAAATTATGAAATACTTTAAAATGTCAAAAACATTGCTGCACACCTTGTAACAGACAGAATAGAGTAAAAACCTTTGCATTATGTCACTCGGGTGTGCAAAACATCCTAGGCAGTTCGTATAAATTGGAATTACATAGACTTTCATAAAACTGAGTCTGGAGCACACCCAGGTGTTTGAACCCCCAGTGAGCATTTTGGAGTTGAAACATGTCTACTATAAACTTAACCTAAAAGTGCACATTTTTGTAGACATCTACGTCTAGTTTTTGATGTCAAACTGAGGCAAAAGTAGTATTTTAATGGTCAAACTTGAGTCCTTTGATGCCAAACACTGCCTGTCTCCAACTGAGCTAAACAAATATATCCTGTAAAACAGTGGTTCCCAAACTTTTTATCTTCTGACCCACAAAATATCCATGGCAAAAACTTGTGACCCCAAATATTACTGGTCTGAGGATACATACTTTGAACTCGAAAAACACAGGCTTTTTGACAATCTAAACAGCTTGTACACAAAAATAAATACTTATATGTACTTATTTTGTGTTTTTGTAATAGTTATAGGGAAAATATTATATTAGCAATTAATTTATTACCCTTTAAATTGATTTCTGGAGATTATCCAAGGTGCTTCGT